GACCACACTCCTGGTCTGGTGTTCGGGGGCCCAGAGGGGAGCTGGAGAGAGGGTTAGGTTATGCCTGGGCCCGGCCCAGGACACACTTGTGGGGCAGCAGCCAGCCAGTGCCAGAAATAGGGGGCACCCTCCCAGCCTCAGCCAGGCAGGGGGAGCAGAGCTTAAGGTGCATTAAACTGCTCTCGTGTTTGGGAAATATTAACAATTAAAAACCTTAAATCTTCATGATACTTTCTATACCAGATAATTAATACAAGAACAGATAATAATTACTTAATGATTAATAACTACACTTAATAGTTTTCAAAGTGATTGCAATAAAAGAAAAGATAAATGAAAACCCATCACAAGCGCTGTGCTAGGGGTTATCCAGTCATCTGGGGTGGTTCTGCTGGACTCCAGGCCACCCACTCCCTGGCTGGATGCTCTCCACACACAGAGGGTGAGCACCCCACACCCAGGGAATCGGGGTGTTGCCCAGTCACTGGGCCAGGTAAGTGGAGTCTGTCTGTCTTCCTGGGGTGCTCATGGAGTGACTACAGGGTTGACTCAATGGGCCCAGGTGTCTCTGCCTTGTACCTATAGGTATCCTGGGTCTCAGGGCTGGTAGACAGGGACATCCTCTGTCCCCATTGGCTGATCCCTGGTCCTCCCCCTGCCTGTAGGCCCTCTGGGTCCTGCAAATACCCCTCCACCATCAGACATACCCTGCCATGCGCCTGGGATCAGCCCACCAATTCTTACTAAAGTGAGGGTGGTTGTTCAGTGCTACCCTAATCCTCTAGGCCTGCAGTCACATCATGCCTTCACCTACAGGGAGAGGAGGAGGGCAGTTCCACTGAAAAGAGGACTGGCACCAGCCGCCCTGAGTCTATGGACTCTGCCAGCCCTGGACAGCATGCCAGGGAGCCCAGAGCCCTGGAATGGGGGGGACCTGGGACCCGCTGCCCCTCCCCTGAGTCATCACAGTTCCCAGAGCCCTCGAAGCTACCTTGTCCCCTATCCAGGGCCAGTGCTGTTCCTGCACAGCCTGCCACAAGGCGATGATGGGACAGAGTGGTGCCCGATGCCTGCTTTGGGCAGGCAGATGGCGGCTTAAACTGCTCTTGTAGTGTTTTTTGAGAGTTTAACATTTTCAAAGCACAAGTTAAGACAAAGTGGCAGCTGGAGAAGCAAAGAAAGACGGCAGCCCGGCAGGGAGGGCTAGGAGGGGGCCTGCCTCGCAGCAGGACGGTTGCCACGGTGATGGGCAGGCAGGTGTGGCCTGGCCTCGGATTCCCCATCTCCTACTTTGGAGAGCACCATCTCCTTCATCACCCCTCTTCAAAGGGCACACCTGGACGGGTAAACCGAGCCCCCGAGAGGGTCGCACTGCCGAAGTCCCGAAGGCAGGCCCTGCCTCCAGCCCAGGACCTCAGGTCCAGACCCCCCTCAGCCTCTGAGTGTTCCTTGACCAGCGCCCCCTCATTAGCCTGTCCTGGGTCTCTGCCCTGTAGGTCAGCGTCTCTGAGGCCGTTAGCAGGATGGTGGCTCCTCCAGGCCCAATGCTCATTAAGGCTTCTCTGTGGGCTCCGCCCACCCTCCTCCTCTTCCTGGCAAAGGTCCTTCCCAGGGCAGGAGTTGGCTGTCCACCCACACAAGCACCCGGCGGCCTTGGCCCTGACCCTGTGGGCGACACAGCAGAGTGCCCAGCACCCATCCTCCTTGTCTTCTTCTATTACCACGTGACTCCTGACTCCTTGCATCAGCTGGGGAGGGGCTGATGACCGTGGGTGGGGTGTTCCTGGGATACACCCCACCTGCAGGAGCCTGGAGGGGCTGGAAATGCAGGCTTCTTGGGAGCTGGGAGGGGCCTGGCCCCCGTCTCTGCTTTGCAATTGGGCCTGCCCAGACCTAGGCCTCAGTTTCCTGGTCTGTGAAATGGGTTTGGATGTCAGCCCTGGGAGTTGAAGTTCCTGTTATCAGGGATCCCTGGGTCCCAAGCCATTCTGAGGGCAGCCTGCAGGCAGCCCTGGGTGGGGTGCTGGGGGTGCACAGACTCTGTTCCTTGCTTCCTTCTCATTGTGAGGCAACAGAGGCCTAGTGAGGCCCAGGTCAGGGCAGTGGTGTGGGGAGGCCAAGCTGGCCCGGCCCCTCAGAAGGGATAGGGGGACAGTGGGGGACAGAGCAGGCCCCAAGGGCAGAGAGCCAAAGCTGTACTTGGACACACTTGCTGTGGGCAGTGACTGTCCCATGGACCCTGACTCAGCTCCTGGGTGGGGTCAGAGGTGGGGAGGCTGCCTGTGCTGCCCCTGGACCCACAGCAGCGGCTCACCAGGCAGGGTAGGTGGGCTCAGCCAGGGGCTGGGGCAGAGCTGGGGGTCCCTTGGGCGATGGTGTTGATAGTCCGTGAGCCCTTGCCCCTGCCTGGATGCCACTGGGGTCCTTGGCACCCAGAGGCCCACCTGCCTGCAACCTTGTAGACCCCTTGAGGGCGTGACAACCCCCCCTTAGCCTTCAGGGATTTGGGTGAGACTGGTGATTTAGTGGTCTGCCTAATGAGGCCTCCTCATTAATGATACATTCCTAATGACCTGCTCTCCTCTGTGGCAGTAAACCTGTCAGTGGGCTGGTGGGAGGTGGGAGGCCTGAGGTCCCCAGGAGGGAGGCACTCTGGGAGGCCGGTTGGGGCAATGTGCCAGCTGTGTGCAGGGTCCCTGGCTCCTGGCATTGTCATGAGAACCTCCGGAGTGTGGGGGCACCGGGCAGGGACCTCAGGTGAGCCCTCTGTGTCCTGTGGTCAGCAGGCATGTGGCGTGGTCTGTGGTTCTCCCCCAGGCCCGGGTGTGGTGGAAATGACAGAGGATGTGGTTTGGTGGGGAAGGATGCAATCCTACCAGGTGATGCCAAGAAGCAAGGGGCAGCCCTTCCTGTGGGGTGGGGCCTGCATCACGGGGGAGAGGGCACTGTCACCCCATTTCACAGATGGGGAAACTGGGGTCAGGGTGGGGCGGGACCCAGCGCTGTCCAAGATCTGGCGGTCCAGACTCTTTCCCCAGGATCCACAACCCACCCCACCTCAGCCAATTCCGCCCCAAGAGCTGAGAATCCTACTGGACTAGGGGCAGAGGACACCGTGGACCCTAGGGGGCTGGTGGGGGCTTCTCAGGCCAGGGCCCAAGGACGCCCAGGTGGCAGCCCCGCCCCACCTCCGGGTCAGGCGGACTGGGGTCCAGTTCCATCAGCAGCCAGCAGAGAGGAGTCCTCCATCAGACATGGTCACAAAACTTCTAAGACTTAATTAAAATCAATCTCCAATTACTCAAATGCCATTGATTCTGGTCTCGACCAGTGGGGAAAATATGGTCCTCATCGTGGGGAATGTCGATATCCGGGCACTGGCCGTTTGTCTCTGCACAGGGCAGGCGGGACCCCACTGTGCCCGGCCCTGGGGCTGCGCAGCAGTGGCTCAGACCCATGTCCGACCATTCCTGGAGGGACAGCTCTGCCTGTTCACCCCTCGCTGGCTGA